CAGGACGTAAGCGATCTTGACACTTTATATAGTGTGACACTATTTAGCTATGGTAATTGGCTAACTAATTAATCATAGAACTTAAAAACGAGAAATACTTAAAGCGAGAAGGAGCTATATCGAAAGACATGCCGAGCGACATTTTTTTTTTAACAAGGCAAAAATGGGTAAAGATTTTATTTTCATTTACGAAGAAAGATATTTTTTCGCAGAAGACAGAAAATTCATAAGAGAAACAGGTTTCAGATTCTGTCGGAATTAATTAATATCATGAGGCGCCAAGGGAGACAGAGTACGTGTAAAGAATAACAATTTCACTACACACGTAGCAATAATTAAAATTTCGATTCGGTCAGCTGCATGTAGGCCGAAGTAATCGAAATTCGGTTATCTTGGATTCCGACGAAGAAAGTCAGCCGTATGAATACAGACCTTGATATGATCATTGTTACTGCCTGTTCAAACTATTAACGACAGACTTTCTGTCATCGAGAAAGACAAAGAGATTTAAAACGTCCAGGTGCAAAATGACCACCCTGCGATCATTAATGAGTCGGCGGAGAATTTTGCTAATGAATTCTAGGTGCCCCCAGGATAAGAAAAAAATTTAATGACCACAATGTGCAGTCCATAAGAATTCTGGCCGATAGAAAAGAAAGAAAGAAAAAGGAAGATATTTTTTTCTTTGGGCGATAATGTAAACTAATGCCAGTCTAGCCACACTCACACTGCTGAGCGTTCATTGGCTGAGTGGTGGCGTGAGTGATGGGCGAAGGTGAACATGTGAGAAAGAAGGGAAAATTGTTGACGCCCACTGGAGGGATTGGTATGAGATACCAATATGAGAAAGGAAGAGTTTAGGAGGATAATTCTCCTCCGACCTCTCCACACAGAAGGGGGAGAACCCCTCTAAAGCAGAAAATAACTGACTTCCAAAAATGGGAAATTATAAATTTTCCTGTCCGAAGACAAAGAGAATCCTTATTGGGGATTTGGAAATATCGAAGAACCCAAATCACGACAGGCCCCAACCCGGTTTTGGTCGATTTCCATATAAACGAACGTCCCCGGGCGTTCAGAGTAGAGTTGGGTTGGAGATCGGAGAGAGATCGACAGAGAGCTGTTGAGTTCGGAGACCAGCCTCGCAGGATTTGGCCGAAAGATTTCCACGCCTTCCGACTTAAACTTCTAACCAAAAGCAATTTTTAATGAAGAACGACTTAGACTTACACCACTAAAGCAAGTTTTGATGAATATCGACTGAAGATACCAAAAAGCAGTTTATTGAAAAACAGCTTAAGATATCAAGACTTGCTTAAGAAATGCAAAAGTGTCACGAATCCATAGAAGCGGGCTGGGAGAAAGATGCACTCCTGTATTCAGCAGACAGATATAAAGATACTTGCTATTTCTCAACACATTTGAACCTCCTGAGTTTGTTTCATTATTTTTCTTTTACATACACTTGTGCGCTATCACATTTACCCCGGATTCAGCTTGCACTACGGCCCGACGCCTGATTGATTTCGTCTACCTAAGATCAAATCACAACATGGGTAGGTTAGACTAGAGATCAAAGCAGTTACTTCGGTAACCAGACGTTGGAGGCGAGCTGGGAACGACAATGCTGATATCGAATCTAACCAGACATCGACCGCGACCAAGACAACCAGAGGGGTTAGTGTCACAAATGGCTCCGTGGTAAACCAGGTTTTCACCCAAACCAGCCAAGGTTAGATCGTCACAAATGGTACTGCAACCAGCCAAAGGTTAGAGTGTCACAATAGCATAACCCTTGAAGTAAACGATCATAGCTCTTTACATGCCATGTCCTTTCAGGACGTAAGCGACCATGACCTTTTACATGCGATGTCCGTTCAGGACGTAAGCGACCATGGCCTTTTACATGCGATGTCCCTTCAGGACGTAAGCGACCATGGCCTTTTACATGCGATGTCCCTTCAGGACGTAAGCGATCATGGCACTTTACATGGCATGGCTCTTCAGGACGTAAGCGATCTTGACACGTTACATGCCATGTACCTTCTGCACCTACGCAATGTGAAAAGATGATCGATTCTTGTCTTGGCCTAATAGTTGATTTATTCGTTTTCTACGGTTTATCAACCCTTTTTAGGTTATTTAAAGCCAGAAAATATTTTTAGAGTGGAAGAATTATTATTTTTTATTTATTTATTTTTTTTTTGTAGATAATAAATGTTTTAATGATACAAGTTTGACTAATTACCTCGTACTATTAGGCGGATCAATTCATTTTATTTGCGCGTAAGTGAATTGGAACAGTTGCCTCAGTCCACCCGCACATCCACGCTTACAGCACGTTGTATTCCCGAGCTGTCACCCACCTGGGCACTGACCAAGCTCGACGTTGCTTGACTTCGGTGATTCGGTTTTTAACGTGATGTATCCGTAAGCCGTTCTCCAAAAGATATTCCGGCGAAAGTGAATAGTCTATGCCGAAATTCGAACTCGGCTCTCCGATTCCACACCTGTTGTCGATAACCGTTAGGACACGCACATATCCATTGCTGTTGTTTAAATTAGTACAACTAAAAAGAATGATAGCGATCATGGAAAGACATAGATCAGCTATTGCTATTAATGTTTTATTATTTCTAATTATATAGAAGTTCTTTTCATGTAGTGATTATCAATTATGGTTTTCTCAAAACTAGATTGTTCTGCTTACGCTGAGCCCAAATAAATCCCCCAGTAACCTAAAACACAGCTTTTTTTATTAGATAAAATTAAGTCAAGGTTTTATTTTCGACATTAAATTTATCGAATTAAAATGGGGCATAGATAAAAATAATCATCCTATAATAAATAGATGCAGCAAATTAACACAGAAGATCTAAAAGAAAACGTAGACATGATTGGGCAAGAATTATTATCCGCTTGGAACATACTGGATTTTAATATGTAAACCTGCGGCCTAGGCGCAAAAAAGAATTTGGCCGACAGAATTAAAAACAAATATTAAAATTCTTTGACAGCCGGATTACACGGTGTTGATTGCAGACACGGAAAGGAAACTATCAAGAACTACAGAAGGTAGTGAAAGAAAGCGAGAAGAAAGGACTAAGCATCAATTGCAAGAAGACGAAATGCATGGTTGTTAGCAAAAGGGTCTTTCCAAAATGCAAATTACAAATTGGAGATACCGAAACAAGGAAGTAGATCAATTTAAATAAACGGGGAATGTTTTAACAGAGGACGGAAAGCGCGAAACTGAAATCCGAAGGCATATTGGGATAGGGAAAAATACCTTCCAAAAGCTAAGTAAATTGTTATGAAACAGTACAGTAGAATCCTTGACAACTGGACTAAGAAGGCCTTCCGGATATGAGAAATTGGTTACAAAGTCCGGATATGAAGGGTTATATTTAGATTAAAATAAAAGAACTGAAATCAGGTCTCACATTTATTTTCAATGTTTTATAGTAAACAAAATAAGCCAATGGTGAGTGAAATATAACGGAATTGAATCTAAGGAAAAGAAATAAATTATATAATGTTATTGAATATTAATTAAATAAAGTATGCCACGTATACAAAACAAATAATGTAACGAGGATTTTTTAATCGTTGTTGCATGGTGATTCTTTCTCTTCTAATGTCATTCTCAACTTTTTCTGCATTTCATTTTGCTTTTGTTCTTGAAACTTTTTAGACGAAAGAAACTTTTTAACTCTGCGTGCGTTATTTCAATCGTCATAGCTGATTACTGGCTTTCTTTCCATAAAACTGACAACCTTTTCAATAGCTTTTTCAATTTCAGTCCAGATTTCATCACAATGCTTTTTTTTTTATTTCCTTGTTCATTGTGACAGTATGAACGCTGGAAAATAATTTTTTTGGAGATTTTATATCACACAATGTTGACTTTCCTATGTTGAACTCAGTCATTAGTTACAATGAACTTTCCCCAGCGTCTAGTCTGTTAAAAATTTCCACTTTTTCCGATAACACCAAAGTTGTTCTTTTCCTCTTATTCCCATCTTTTGCACCAATATAAGCTATGCATTTTTCATCGCCTACAAATATTTTTCTACCAGTGTTTGATTTTCGGAACTTAGCCATGGGTTCCAAATAAAAATATAATCTATAAAATCCAGAATCTATTTGTATGTTTGTGGTACGCACTGCTGGAGTGAACTAAAACTGCTAGCTTAATTTTCTCTTGCTTCAAAAAAGAAATTTTTCTCTTTTTTTTTTATTTACGGTAACTACCTTTCTGCTTGTTTAGAGTAATTAAAGGTATTGGTGTACAAATTTCTATATTAAGCAATTCTTTAAAAATAAAAATAGTAACTTCAAAAAATGTCCAGGGACTCAATTGTCTGGTACGCAATTGTCCGTCCATCGCTGACTAGGAACTCTGTTGTTCAGTGGTTCAACAGAATGGAGAAAGCTGTGTCTTGATTGGCTTTCTTCGTTGTCTTTGGTTCACAGCCGTGGAATGGATGACGAGGGTCAGTTTCCTGCTTCAACTTAAGTTGGGAATTGAGTGGTCTTCTGATGTAAGGTGGGGGGCGATGTTCAGACTATCTACGTTCATTAGTTCCACCATTTCAGATCTTCACAGGTAAGGCTAGCCATGTCACATACTCTAGACAGACCCACTCCATTCCCTTCACATTCAGTTAAATCGAAGGAAATTTCATTCGGATGGCATCTTCCAAAGATCTGCTTCTTTCTGAAACAGACACCGAAAAAGGGAAAAATCCGTAGCCATTTCTATTCCTATAATAAACAAGTCTTTACAAACAAAATGGCCACTTCAAAAAATTATCAGAGGTACGCAAATGTCCAAGAACGCAATTGTCTTATACGCAATTGCCCGGGACGCAAATGTCCAGTACACAACTGTCCATCCATCATTTCAAACCTACTTGAAATTATGTATGTATATGTGTGTTTGTACTTGAATTAAATGGCAGAAGCACATATAAGGCACACATACGTATATACATAATCTACACGCATGCAACGTCACACAGAGAATCAGCTTTTAATTTTATAAGAAGGACAGGGAAAACTAATGAGAGCGGTGGTATTACAAAAGAAAGAAAGAAAGAAAGAAAGCAATCAAAGAAAAAAAGAAAGAAAAGGAGAGGGTTAGAAAGAAAGAAAGAAAGAAACTTTGAAATTTTATAAAGGAGAACATGAAACAATGAGATATTAAAAAGGAAAGAAAAAGAAAGAAAAGGAGAGGGTTTGTAGGGACGACTCAGTAAGAAAAGGAGAATATAAATGATGGTATTAAAAGAAAAAAAAAGGAATTTAGAAAAAAAAGAAAAAGGAAAGGAGGGTTTACATAAGAAAGAAAAAAGAAAAGAAAAAAGTAGGAAAGGAGAACGTTTATAAAGTGGGTTTAGAGAAAGAAAAAAAGAAAGTGGATGACTTTCAGAAAGAAAAAAAGAAAGAAAAAGAAAAGAACGAATGAATGATGATGAGATATTAAAAGAAAGAAAAAAAGAAAAGGAGAGGGTTTAAAAAAGAAAAAAATCCTAAAACGGGAAAGGAGAACGTATAAAATGATTTAGAAAAAAAAAAAAAAAAGGAAAAAGAAAGAAAGAAAGAAAGAAAGTGGACGACTCAGTAGGAAAGGAGAACGTATGAATGATGAGATATTAAAAAGGAAAGAAAAAGAAAGAAAAGGAGAGGGTTTAGAAAGAAAGAAAGAAAGAAAGAAAGAGGACGACTCAGTAGGAAAGGAGAACGTATGAATGATATTAATAGTAAAAGGAGAACGTATGGATAAAAAGGAAAAAAAAAAGAAAGAAAAGGAGAGGGTTTAGAAAGAAAAAAAGAAAAGAAAGTCAGTAGGAAAATTTTACGAGATATTAAAAACGAAAGAAAAAAAGAAAAGAAAAGGAAAAGGGAAAGAAACGTATGAATGATGAGATATTAAAAAAAGGAAAAGAAAAAAGAAAGAAAACGAAAAGGAGGGTTTAGAAAGAAAGAAAAAGAAAGAAAGAAAGAAAGTGGACGACTCAGTAGGAAAGGAGAACGTATGATGAATGATGAGAAAATTAAAAAAAAGAAAGAAAGAAAAGAAAAACGAAAAGGAGGGTTTAGAAAAAATTAGAAAGAAAGAAAGAAAGAAAGAAAGTGGACGACTCAGTAGGAAAGGAGAACGTATGAATGATGAGATATTAAAAAGGAAAGAAAAAGAAAGAAAAGGAGAGGGTTTAGAAAGAAAGAAAGAAAAGAAAAGAAAGTGAACGTACGACTCAATGATGACGACTCAGTAGGAAAGGAGAACGTATGAATGATGAAAGATATTAAAAAAGAAAGAAAAGAAAAAAAAAAAAAGAAAAAAATGAGAGGGTTTAGAAAGAAAGAAAGAAAGAAAGTGGACGACTCAGTAGGAAAGGAAAGAACGTATGAATGATGAGATATTAAAAGGAAAAAAAAAAGAAAAAAAAAGGAAAAGGGGTTTAGAAAGAAAAAAAAAAAAAAAAAAAAGAAAAGTGGACGACTCAGTAGGAAAGGAGAACGAGATATGAATGATGAGATAAAAAAAAAAAAGAAAAAAGAAAAAAAGGAGAGGGTTTAGAAAAAAAGAAAAGAAAGAAAAAGAAAAAAAGAGGGGGAAGGACGACTCAGTAGGAAAGGAGAACGTATGAATGATGAGATATTAAAAAGGAAAGAAAAAGAAAGAAAAGGAGAGGGTTTAGAAAAAAGAAAGAAAAAGTGGACGAATAGGAAAGGAGAAATGAATGATGAGATATTAAAAAGGAAAGAAAAAAGAAAAGAAAAGAAAGAGGAAAGGGTTTTAGAAAAGAAAAAAGAAAGAAAAAAAGAAAGTGGACGACTCAGTAGGAAAGGAGAACGTATAATGAATGATGAAAGAATAAAAAAGGAAAGAAAAAAAAGAAAAGAAAAGAAAAGGAGAGGGTTTAAAAGAAAAGGAGAGGGTTTAGAAAGAAAGAAACGACCTAGAAAAGAAAATGAAAAGAAAAGTGGACGACTCAGTAGGAAAAGGAGAACATATGAATGATGAGATATTAAAAAAAGGAAAGAAAAAAGAAAAGAAAAGACGAGGGTTTGAAAAAAAAAGAAAGAAAGAAAAGAAAGAAAGAAAGAAAGAAAGTGGACGACTCAGTAGGAAAGGAGAACGTATGAATGATGAGATATTAAAAAAGAAAAAAAAAAAAAGAAAAAAAAGAAAGAAAGTGAAAGGAAAGAGAACGAGGGTTTAGAAAGAAAGAAAAGAAAAAAAAGAAAGAAAGAAAGAAAGTGGACGACTCAGTAGGAAAGGAGAACGTATGAATGATGAAAGATATTAAAAAACTCAGTAGGAAAAGAAAAATGATGAATATTAAAAAAAGAAAAGGAGAATTAGAAAAAGAAAAAAAAAGAAAGAAAAGAAAAGAAAGAAAAGAAAGAAAGAAAAGAAAGTGGACGACTCAGTAGGAAAGGAGAACGTATGAATGATGAGATATTAAAAAAGGAAAGAAAGAAAAAGAAAAAAAGAAAAGGAGAAAGAAAGAAAGAAAAGAAAGAAAGTGGACGACTCAGTAGGAAAGGAGAACGAAAAGTGATGAGAAAGAAAGAAAAAGAAAGAAAAGAAAGAAAGAAAGAAAGAAAGGACGACTCAGTAGGAAAGGAGAACGTATGAATGATGAGATATTAAAAAAAAGGAAAAGGAAAAGAAAGAAAGAAAGAAAGAAAGTGGACGACTCAGTAGGAAAGGAGAACGTATGAATGATGAGATATTAAAAAGGAAAGAAAAAGAAAGAAAAGGAGAGGGTTTAAAGAAAGAAAGAAAGAAAGAAAGAAAGTGGACGACTCAGTAGGAAAGGAGAACGTATGAATGATGAGATATTAAAAAGGAAAGAAAAGAAAAAAAAAAAAGAAAGAAAGAAAGAAAGAAAGAAAGAAAGTGGATATTAAAGACTCAAATGAGAGATATTAAAAAAGGAAAGAAAAAAGAAAAAGAAAGAAAAAGAAAGAAAAAGAAAGAAAGAAAGGGACTTTAAGAAAGAAAAAGGAAAAAAGAAAAGTGAAAGAAAAGAAAGAAGAAGTGGACGACTCAGTAGGAAAGGAAACGTAGAAAAAAAAAGAAAGAAAAAGAAAGAAAGAAAGAAAGGACGACTCAGTAGGAAAGGAGAACGTATGAAAAAGAAAGAAAAAAAGGAAAGAAAAAAAGAAAGAAAGGAAATGGAGATATTAAAAAGGAATTTTCTTTTCTTGTCAAGAAAAAGAAAGAAAAGGAAGGGTTTAAAAGAAAAAGAAAGAAAGAAAGAAAGAAAGGAAAAAAGAACTTTTGAAAGTCTCAGTCTTTGATGAGATAAGAAAAAGTTTAAAAAAGAAAGAAAAAAGAAAAAAGAAAGACGACTCAGTAGGAAAGGAGAACGTATGAAAGAAAGAAAGAAAGGAAAGAAAAAAGAAAAAAAGGTTTAGAAAGAAAAAAAAGAAAGAAATTCAGTAGTTTTGATTTCTTCAAAGAATTGGACGACTCAGTTGTTTCCTTCATTTCATTTCAAAGAAAGAAAAGGAAGGAGGGTTTTCTTTCTTTTTCTTTCTTTCCGTTTTAAAAAGTTTTTATTTTCTTTCCTTTCCTTTCTTTTCTTTCTTTTCTTTCTTTTCTTTTTCTTTTCTTTCTTTCTTTCTTTCTTAATACGTCGCCAATCTTCTTTCTTTCCTTCCTCCTTTCTTTCTGTAATTCTTTTTTAATATGTCCGCGCATATACATTATTTTTAAAATTAACAAAGCTTCAGGATGGCTGGGTGTTTTAATGCTTATCGGAGTTCAAATCTCTTCTTCGACTTTTGCGTTCACTTTCGCATTAATGCCGTTGGGAAAAGAATGAATCAGTATTTTCTCACCCCCAGCTATGGGTTAAATATCAGTGTACACCGGACTCTCTAACATTGAATGGCGACCAGTCAAAGAGAAGGATTGTTGAAAGTTGTGGAGAGTCATAATCGCCTACGTCTTTAAAGGATATCTAAAATAGTTTTATAGACTATCTAATTATAATCTTACTATATTATTTAAAATAATTTTCAGCTGAATTTTTTAGATGACGTATGATTATTTGCATATGGGCTACTATTTGGACCGGCATATCTTGATCGTTATGCGCATAACCTTTCAATTCTACATTCTGGCCTTCTTCAGGTGTCTGTCTTCGTTCTCGGTAATTTTCTTCGAATCAAACCGTTTATTCAGTCTACGGTGATAGATTGTTCTCATTCCGCTGTCCATGCTTAGGGGAGATAACTTATAGCACTTACGGGAGATAACTTATACCAGTCAGGGAAGATAACTCATATCAGTCGATACTCACCAGTTTTATACAGTCTCTTGTCCGGCCTGGGTATGACGATAAACTACATCCGCGTCTGGGTAAGACGATAAACTACGTCCAACAGCAAGGCCTCTGATCAGGAGGTTTTGAAAAGCGTGGAATCACCCCTTAATTGCTGATGTTCCCAGGTCTGCCCTGACCCGGTACGGGCAAATAGTTAACCCCCACCCCAAACTCTGGGCAAAACACAACATGAAAGTAAAAATAGTTTTTAATACCAGAAATACTTTGTAAATATAATTATTACCAACAATACATTTTTAAAAAACAAATATTACCAGCAATATCTTTTTTTAAAAAAATATTACCAGTGAAGGAAAATTTTTACCAGAAATAAGTTTTTGAAGGAAAAAATATTACCAGAAATAGATTTTTGGAAAAAAAAAATATTACCAACAATGAAAATTTTGTCGGCATTAAATAACCCATTGAGGTTGATATGCCGTAAAACAAACCAAACTAAATCGTCTCTTCCAAAGAATTTTTTTTCAGCACTACCACACCCAAGGACTGGACCTACAACTGCTAGGGACGCTTTTTAATCAATGCTTTAATCCACTATGCGCCTCTTCGAGATTCCAAGAAAGTTACCGAGTATGATCAAAATGTTGTCAATATAACAACCAATATTGGTTAATTTGCAGTGTAACACCCGCGCTCAGTTCGCATTAAAAATTGCCAGAATACTTACATTTATGTGTAATTGTGAAAGCTCCATTCGAATCTGGCTTGATAAATTTGATAAAATCCACCGTTTTGGAGTTATCGACAGTAAAAGTTCGGATTCATTCGTATCGTTGGCAGCAGCCATTACTCGCGTTGTTTGCATACATTCGCTGCAGAAAGCTAAATGCGGAACACTACGAAAATCTAAGCACGGAACTGATCTTTCTTGTCTAAATTTGTCTAAATTACTGTGCACGAGAACTATTTACGTAGACACGCTCAGTTTGCGCAACGATACCTACACTGATAGCTATTCTGCAGCGAATATATGCCAACAACACCAGTAATGGTTGCCCGCGACGCGAATGAGTTCAAAATTTCACTGCCGATAACTTCAAAACGGTAAATTTTTTAAAATTTTTATCAAGCCAGATTCGAATGAAGTATGTACAATTGCACATAAATGTAAGTATTCTGGAGATTTTTAATGCGCAAAGAGCGCAGTTTTACACTGCAAATTAACCCCAAAATTTAGTATGCTGGTCCAAACAGCATAGCATATAATAATAATTCTTCAACTCGAAAATTCCGAGTGACATTTTCCTAGTTTAGCGTAGGATAGCTCAAGGCGAAATGAAAAAAAACATAGTGATCGAAAAAGTGAGGTTCCTTAAAGTGGGGATGTGTTGAAACATTAAACTTTGCGTGGAAACAGGCCAATATATCGTATTTTTTAAGTTTATCACAAGGTTTGAACGAGGGAACTAGAGGTTGGAATACTGAAACACACCAGATTTCCTAGTGTGGGATTTTCCTCGCTATTCTGTTGGTAAGGAGGGTATCATGACACCCACAGGACAAAAAACAAAGGGCGTATGAGCTTCTTGTAGGAGCCAACGCTCAACATCTGCATATATATATATATATATATATATATATATATATATATATATATATATATATATATATATATATATATATATATACCGGAGTAACAGCAAAATTGCCCAAATCATGTAACAGCATAACTGGCTATCCCCAAAATATTTAATATTTAAAAAACACTAAATACGTTGAGTTCTTTTTACCAGTTTTTCATATAAGACGTTTGGCCATCTTGACACCAATTGTCGTACGAATCACTGAAAAACCTTTTGAGTTATTCAGCTAGAAAGAGAAATGGTTAAAATCGTTTTGTGTCAGCCACACCATGTTTTCCCAACTGAGCAATGGCGAGAGGAAAAAGATCATTCAGGCCATCAGTAATGGTACCAACATTCATACTCTGGGTTCCATCTTCAAAATCCATTCGAGAACCATCAAGAGAACAGTGAATAAATTTTAAATAGTGGAGACAGTAGAAAGGAAAACTGGATCAGGAGGTCGCAACAGGAAAAGGGTTCATTATTTCAATTTAGAGCTAAATACATTCTTATCGTTCAAAGTAGAGTGCAACAGTGTTATAAAAATCTCGGAGAATTCTAGTAAGATATCTTTAATCATTTCTAAGATACAACGATTCAAATCTTAATCTAACAGTTGGACAATTTTTTCTGTTACGCAATTTGGACAATTTTGCTGTTACACCGATATATATATATATATATATATATATATATATATATATATATATATATATATATATGTGTGTGTGTGTGTGTAAAAATTTCAAATAGAGTATATCTGTAAAAAGGACAACATGAATAAAGACAAAAGTAAAACCTCTTAACGATGCGTTTCGTCCTATCAAGGACTTTATCATATGATGATACTCCCGACACTCACGAGAATTTTCTTTCTAAGTTACTTTCTCTTTTGATAAGTGTGGCATTCTTTAGGTCAAAGCAGTGGTTGAATTTATTTCTATGTATAACTTATTATAAATTATTGTGAAAAAACATTCAAAAACATCACTGACTCACTTTCGTTTATTAGACATTGAATTGTGACACTCCCTGTCCTCCATAACTTACCTGACTTTTCAGCTAGCCTGATGAATATTTATGAGCGTTTCTATGCATAATAATTGAATAATGACAGCCCAACAACAGCACATGAGATTTGATTGTAGTGGTTAAGGTTTCGTGCAGGACCATCCACACTTTTTGAAGGGCCGAATAGAGAGACCTGGTGTACTACGTTGCCCCAAGGCCCCAAACGACCCTCCGCAGGTTTGAATTCAGAGTTGTCCTTCTCCTAGACCAGTTACTATCCAAGGCTATAGAACCCAGTCTGTCCTGCTATTTACCCATAGCTGGTGGGAGAAGTATATATATATATATATATATATATATATATATATATATAAAAAAAAGAGGGGGTGCCGCAAACGTTTTTTGGTTGTAATGTGGATTTATTGAGAAAAATATTATACTTTGTTTTACATAATTTCACGACACGTGTTTCTGGTCTGGTCTCGCAACCGTCTTCAGGTGAAAGTGGAGATTTTTACATATTATTAAAAATAATTAATTTTTCTTCATGTTCAATGTGGAATATTCTCGATATGAGACATTCTGTTTGTGTGTTGGCAATCCGAATTTTCTTTCTAGAATTGTCAATGAAGAGTTCTGCGTGAAGGGTCATAAAACAATTAAGGTTTGTCCAGCGAGTAGTTATCGGCATTTAATCTTTTAATGTTTTAGTGACCTCTATGTGCTCTTGGATCTGTTTCTATTTTGGCGTGTTCCTGTCAGCATGCGTGTATATATGCGTGCGTCTATTTCCTTACTTCGGGGAATTCGTAAACTTATTTCTACTTATACACGCATACACACACATACGCACATACACACTATCCCACCACAAGTAGTCAGTACACACACACATATACACACATATTTCCCAAGCTACATGGAACCAGTACACACACACACACACACACACACACACATATATATATATATATATATATATATATATATATATCAGGAAGTCTGCTGAAGAAGTATTGGAATTGGTGCCATAAAACGAAAAGTACCAAGCATTCAGCTTTTAATCTCCTTCGAAGTAGTCTTCTTTTGATGCCACATACTTTAGCCAACGTCGTTCGAATTTTTGTAAGCATTTCTCAAACATCTTTTAGGGAATAGCGCGCCTTGCTACATTCTCTTCGATTTTCTCGGCGTCTTGATATCTTGTTCCAATCAAGTGGGATTTGAATTTTGATTTAGGAAAAAGTCGCAAAAGGCGAGGTCTTAGAAATATGGTGTTTGTCAGACCTGGGGAATATTGTGTGATTGGTTAAAAAATGCTGCACACGCCATGGTCACTGATGGAACTTCTTTGGTGTGGTGAAATGACAGCACTTTCCCTCCAGTGAACATCCGGTCTTGTAAAACCTCACCTTAAATCGTTATGACAAATCTTCTTTATGCAAGATTAATCCTGGTCCTGACTCAATAAAAACACGTCTATGTATGTATATATGTATGCATGGACAGCCAGCTTTGAAAACTGGCATTTTAAATCTTGGTATTTTTTCCTAGCTCGAACGTTGTTATTTAGTAACGGGAGTTTCGTAATGATCAAGCGATATTCTACTGTAATTCCCCATGTATAATACTCATTTTTTTTTCGAAAAAATAATAAGCAAAATTACATGTGCGTATTATGCACAGCTACAAAAAATCTTTTAAAAATTGCCGTTTCATAGGTCGATTTCAGTTGCGAAATTACTACTTACCACAAACATAGGACAATTTGACACTAACATAAGAATGTCAAATACAATACTTACAAATGTAAAATAAAATAAGAATTATCATAAAACTAAATCAGAATAATATTATTCTATGTTTAAAACCATTTATTGTGAAAAACTTACGGCTATGCGATGAATTATGGGCGCCGCCATGTTGCTTCTGCATAATACGATCTGATTGGTTGAAACTAACGGAATAAGAAAGAAGGTAGAATATAGGTACTTCCGTTTCCTTTTAGAATCGTGATGATCGGAAATTTTGATAAATATCTTCAATTACAGCTTGAATAAGATTAGGAAACGCTGGCCGTAATGAAATTGGAGAGGTACAATTTATAGGGTTTCATTACCAAACAAGGGGTGCGTATTATGAGTAAGTAGAAGCATTTTTCCACACTTTCAGCACAATTTTAGGGGTGCGTATTATGGATGAAGGCGTATTATATATGGGGAATTACTATATATACTAGCTGAATGCCTGTTCTGCAAACAGAATTTATCACAGAAGGTCTCCTATCTCTCGAACTTTACTGCATAGACAACATTTTCAGCTAGACATCCATTTTTTAAAGCTTTTTTTTTCTCTCCTTATGCCGAGTTCATTTTCCTACTCTGGACAAAGCTACATCGAGTTGACCATGAGAAAAAAAACACACGTTTGAATAGTTTTTTCACGTTACATTAATAATAACAATAATAATAATAAATTCAGCAAAATTTCTATTGTTCCCTTGTTTAAATAATTCGCTGCGTATTATAGATGAAGTCGTATTATGCTTGGTGAAATACGGTAATTTGAAACAATTCTTGCTTATGGACGCGTCTATTCTTTTAAGATGACCAAGTGAATAAAATAAAAACGAAAAGAGAAGCAAACAAAAGTGGTTAACCTTCGATTGATTGTTTGATTAACAGCACTTCAATTCGTTATGGGTCATTTAATTATTTACATTATTTATATTATTCGGACTGTTATCCTCATCTTCATTGCCATATTCACAACGCTTCGGTCGTTGTATGCTCTGGCCTTCTTGATTGGAATTTCGATCCGAACCCTTTTTTTGGTTCACCGGGGAGAATTGTTCTAGTTACACGTGCCATGCCTATTCCGGATGTCTTACTTATTTCCCTTTACCTCAACTCCTGCAGAAAGCCGGAGGATACAACGGCTGAAACTTTGTGAATATGGCAATGAAGATGAAGATAACAGTCCGAATAATGTAAATAATTTAAATAAACATAATACTTCATCTCTGAGATATAGACACGCTCATATAATGTCGAAATTTTCTTGGGAGCTTTGAAGTAATAAAACTATTTTGTTCTGCCTTCACAATTGAATACATGGTAGATGATACTTAGCTTTTGTGCATAAATATGCTTAAGTGGACAGAATGATGATAGGGTTTATATACTGTAATTCGGAATTTATGTTTTGGAATACAGTTTAATTCAAGAAATTTTCGGTTATAGTATTGCTTAATGTCATGAAAGTGTTCTTTCATATTGGTTGATTTTGTTTAGCGGCACATCAACACCTCCATGGGTTATTTAATACCAAAATGTAAATAATTTAAACAATTTTATGGCTTCAACTAAATACAGATAAAATATATTGTTGCTAATTTTAATATAAATAGTTATTGTTGCTAATTTTACTATAAATAATTGCAATTTTTTTACATAAAATTATATTCTGTGTCCGTCTATATTTCTGAGATGAGCTACTATGTACACTATTTACATTATTCGGATTATTGTCCTCATCTTTGTTGTCATATTTATCACAACGTTTCGGCCGTTGTACGCACCGGACTTCTTCAGGTGGTTCTTTATTTCGCTCGCTGGGGTAGACTGTTCTAGTTCCACATGGCTTGTCTAATTGATGTCAGTTATCAGTTATCTCCTGTTAATTAATTTCTATGCTTTGTCGGCTCATGCCTTTAACACGAGGGGAAGTGGAAAAATCAGGTGTGGCTGACCACATATGAAGAGAAAAAGGAGATCACCGCCCTCTATGGGATCAGGTTGAAATCATAGACAAAGAATATCATTGGAAAATTCGTAAACTTAATTGACATTCATTAGACATGTCACGTGGAACTAGAACAGTCTACCCCAGCGAGCGAAATAAAGGGTTCAGTTCGACATTCCAAACACCTGAAGAAGAACGGAGCGTACAACGGCCGAAACGTTGTGATAAATATGGCAACAAAGTTGAGGACAATTGTCCGAATAATGTAAAATAGTGTAAAACTATATGTTGGTATTTTTACTGCAAAATATGTATTTTTAAACGTTCATAGTGTTTTGTTTGGGGTTTCATTATTTGTCCATAGTTTGAACAGTAAAAGATGCTACCATCCTGGGTCATGGTGGATCTGATACCAAAAACAATTAAGATGTGGTTCCACGCTCCTGAAAACCTTCAATCTCCCGATCAGAGGCCTTGCTGCCGGATGTAGTTTATCGTCAGCCCCAGGACTGGTTAATTTTCGAAGTGATCTTATTATCTTATAGTAATTCGTCTTATAAATGAGAAGCGATGGCCTTCAAGTTTATCCCTAGCTGTATAAGATGTATTAATAGCCAGGAACTTTGGTAATAATTACGAGAGTTGGGCGGAGACTTAAATCAATACGCCTATAAACAAACAACACCGTTTAATCGACACCTTTTGCATGGCCTGGAAGGTCCTTGGCAAGAAGAGCTGAGTGATAATGATGGCGGTGCTGATACCAAGATAAGATAACTAACTAATTTTCTTTTCATCCGTAAGGTGGCGTGGGCGCCCACGAAAGAGAGAAAAGAGCGAAAAAGCATTACAAAGAAAGAAAAATGAGTGTGCAGTGAGTGTGAATATGGCGGGATAGAATTCAGTGACTCAATCACTAGCGTGATAAACATCTCGTACAAGGAGAACGCAGTACGCTTAGTAGGCAGTTGCTTTGCTGGCCTTTCTAGTCAAGGATATGAAATGAAGGTGACCTCAAACGTGCGAGGGTTGTTCACCTCGTTCTTTTCTTACCACTCTTGTTTTTCTTCTTCTTCAGCTTTTGTCTCTTATATATATATATATATATATATATATGTGTGTGTGTGTGTGTGTGTGTGTGTGTGTGTATTTTCATACGAGAATTATGCAGACTCCGAAGTGAGAGAATTTTAAAAGCTGTTTCGAATTCTTTCCAACAAGGAAAAGTACAACTGAGATATACACTTCTGGTGCTAATTATTGTGTGTGTGTGTGTGTTTCTTTCATTTGAGCGTGCGTGTTGGTGTGTGGAAAAACCTATTAACGATTAAACGATAGACAGACAAGAAAATAGAGACGAAGATACACTGATAGAGAGATATAAATAGAATGAGATAGATAGATAGATAGATAGATAGATAGATAGATAGATAGATAGATGGATATAGAACAGCCTGGGATAGATAGATAGATAGATAGATAGATAGATAGATAGATAGATAGATAGATATGAACAGCCTGGGCATAGATAGATA